CAAATTACTACTAGCCAAGCAGACTTAAGTTCAATGTAAGGTGCACCTTGTTGATATGAGTAGTCTATCATCCCTATTAAGTTTTGATGTCACATTAGCCATCATCAGATCATAATACAACTTTCGTTTGTTGTAAAAAAATGATTAAGAAGCGATAAATAGATCTGCCATGCTTTTATGTTTAACTCATGGCTTCAAGTACGCATGGAAAAGCATGTATACAGTGCACTTTGCAATTAGTCTTGCAACAAATGCTTACTCAATCGAGTTATTTTTATATACTACTCTCTTCGTTCAAAAATAAATGTCTTAATTTTGTACTAATTTATAGTACAAAGTTGTACTAAAGTTAATTAAGACACTTATTTTAAGATGGAGGGAGGTTCTAGCACGCTATCTGTGAAAGAAATCCTTATGGGTGATGTACAACAATCTATAAGTGTGTCTTCCATTTCATTGTCTTTTTTACCATTGAGCCACTGCCACCGCTCGGTCGGCAACCTCTTGAAGTTGTTCTCGATGATATAAATCAAAGATTTGATGTTCAAAGTAATCCAACTATCCACATGGCCAGTAGCAGAGCTTAGTGGAGACCAACAGGGCCATGGCCCCCCCTTATTTTTTGTATCCATTGAAGAACAAGCTACATCGTGAGCCTGATTAGTGTTTAAACTACAAATTAGCCCCTCCTTCCCTATTAACTTGGTTTCTTTTGACTAATGGCCCCCTCTTGAATTATTCTCAAGCTCCGCCACTGCACATGGCAACTGAAGAAAACATAATGATTTGATTTCCCCATCATGGAGAAGGAATTCAAGCAATACATAAATGGTGTGCCATGTCGATTTACACTTGATGATCTGCAGCTGCACCTTACAAGAGTATTTCCGAATTCGCTCTTAATAAAATGAGTTACAAACCCCGCAAAAAAAACGAGTTACAAATTTTGCTAGTATAGTACAATCATACAAGACTAGTAATGTTACAGCGAGCTCTTCTTCACGATTGATAATGGTTGCTTTTCACTCAGACACACTGACTTCATGTAATCTGCACAACCAGTATTACAAACTAAGGATAAGGATAACCCAGGTATTGGCAAGGGATGGCTGGTGGTACATGGGCTGTAGGCAATGCTGGAGAAAACTAAGAAAAGAGCAAGGTGTATACATATGCTCTCCCTTAAGCAATGTTACACGTTCAGATTTAGCTGGGCAGTTCCCCTCCTCTTCTTTCGTGCCAACGGATGCAGCGCAAAGTGTTCAGCTTGCAACATCACCACCAGCAAATTTCGTTGTGCGGAAGAATAAAAAGGTTCAGCCAAAGAACAACGGGTATGGATAATTATAATGCATTTTGCAGTACAGTGAACAGACAGTGTGAAACTGATATTGCTTCCTTCATTGAATGTCAACAAAGCCTCCTGTGCTGAAGAAATTCCCTAGGGAGAAAAAGGAAGAACGTTGATGGTTCACCGACTGCCAGCAAAGCCAAAAAAAGGTCAATATAATTTATTTTCTTTTGAGAGACTCTAGGACGCAAAAATCGCACGTACTAATCTTGCACCACATCTTTTTGTGATACAGTCGGCGCTGCGAAGCAACTATTTTCTCCAGAGAATCATAAGAATGTCGGTAGGAAAGAAGACAAGCACCTGAGACTGAAGCTTCCAACTAGCCAGACACATGATCAGCAGCTTCTCCAGACGAAGCAAGACGCAAATGAGCCCGACTCCGCCTTCTAAACAGCTAGACCTGTCATCGATCGTCAGCTTCATGCATGGAACCTCTAGCTTTCTAATCTTTGGAACTATCGCTTCTTTAGTTGTAATAATAAAGTCAGTCTATGCACATATGTACTCTGTATCTCTAAGCCTGCGCTCGCTGTATATCTCTGGGTCGTTGCACTTTTGTATTGATAAAGATCTCACCATGTTGTCAGTTTCTTCCGCTATGCATATCAGCTTTCTCCATTTACCTGGTCTCACATGTGCACCCTGTGCTCGCCAGAACAGATGCAAATTATGCCGGAAGTGTACAGAAAATAATGTCACATCCCCTATACGGAAAATATGAGCAAT